CCCCCCCTAGAAAAGGACTTATAGAATAGATATTAGGTTGAAATGCATGTTTCATATCAAATTTATGGCCAGCTCGAAAAAAAAATTAATGGCTGATAACGGTAATAGTGAGTGCCTAAAAAAGGGTTAAAAAAATGAAAAAAATCGGGTTTTTTTTGTTTTAAACAAATATCAAAGTGCGAAACATGTTTCTACATGCATTTTTCAAGCGCTTTTCAAAAATAATGTTTTTGGATCTGTAACTTTATTCACAAAAAAGTTGTGGGCTATTTTAGAATTTTGTTTACAGACCAGACTTTTTTTCCTACCTGTACCCTACCTTACAAATTAAAAAAAAAGTTTTAACAACAAATCGTTTAAACTACTATTCATTAAGTCACCAAATTTCATGGTGATAGTGTCAAAAAATGAGAGTGCAAGGACAAAAAAACTACAAGGGGGGGCGGCGCCAAACGTCCCCCCCCAGCCTGTTTAGGGTCAACCTATTTGCTCTGTAACAACATCAAATAGACTTCAGGATTGCTATATATGTCATATGTCTTTTCTGTAGATGAAATTATTTTGAGACATAACTGTCATGATTTTTATTTCATGATAATTCACAGTAGTAATACTTTTACTACAGCTAAACCAGGCGCACATTCTACTATTATTAAGATAGTATTATTTACTGGTTTTATCCTTTACATAAGTTTAAGATGTCTTTTAGGAACATTTTCCCGGAAAATTCTGGAACGATTGTTCTGTAAACCAGAATTTTCATTAACATTCCGTAATTCCGGATCAACCTTCCGGAAATTTCTCGTTTACGGGAAAAAATAATTCTTGAAATTGTTTCGGAATTCCGGATTTCCAAAACCTTTTCCATAATGGAAATAGAAAAAATTTCTGGATTATTTCCGTATGTAAACCGTAACCCAGAATTCTGGTTGAAACCCTACGTACGAACCTTTCCCAGATCACAAAAATATTTTTTTTCCTTCAAATTTTCTTTTTCAAATTAGTTGGTACAATGGGTGACACGCCTCAACACGGGAACGCCTTTACACGGAAATGGATCTAACATATATCCGTTTTTTTAAAGTTCAAAGTTCAGAACTTTTGAGGGATTTTTGAATAATTAGTATCCGTTTTCAAATATTTATAGTCGAGTGGTTTTGTTTCGTCTTAATTTAGGTCGGTTTCCTCATATTCTTTTAGGTCTGTTTCATCATACTTTTGATCTGTTTCCGCTTTTTTTTCAAAATCTTTCAAAATCTCAATTTGTTGATTGGTTTCCTCAAATTCTATGTCTGTCTCCGCATATTTTAGACCTGTTTCTTATTTTTTCAAAAACTTTAAAAATTGATCTGTTCCTCACAGTTTAAATCAGATTTGTTTCTGCTTTTTTTGAAAACTTTCAAATTGTTCTGTTTCCTCAAATTTTAGGTCTTTTTCCTCATATTTTTGATCCGTTTCTGGTTTTTTCAAAAACTTTAAAAATCGCTATTTGTTGTTCGGTTTCCTCAAATTTTAAGTCTGTTTCCCACATAAAAGATCTGTTTAGACCTTGACAAATAAAGTTGGGATGATTTTTGTTCGTTTTATTTATGGTAATGAAGTAACAGAACCTATTTTGTTTAGATACCAGCAAACAAGCCCTGGCTTATGGAGAGAAGTATATTGATGAGCTCATGGATGCTCAATCCAAAAGTCTAGATACTCATGAGGTGGAAGACACTCCTCAGGTGGAAGATACCCCTGGGGTCGAAGATTCTCCTAGGGTTGAAGATACTCCTAGGGTCGAAGATACTCCTGAGGTCGAAGATTCTCCAGAGGTTGGAGATGCTCAAGAAGTTCAATCAAAAAATACGGGAGAAGAGGATGGGTTTCCCAGAAAGCTGTATTGTACAATATTCTTTAAATCAGACAAAACGTTTGATATTATACCATGCAGAAAAACAAAAACCCACAAAATTGGAGATAAAATCACTGTCAGGAGTCATCATGGACTGGTTGTCGGAATGTTTGGTAAGTTATGAATTTTTTAAATTGAGGGGGCTGGGGAGGTATAAATTTTTGATGCTGAATTTCTCCTTAGACCATAGAATTGACTTTCGCCGTAATGATTTCAAGCAAATTGTTTTATTTTTGGAAATTCACTCACCCCGACTGGATGAAGTTTTTTCTAGTTTGCAATTTTCTCTCTCTCCCTGTATCTCTGAGTACTCTTGAAGCACCGAGCCATACCCAGTTGATACTTCTCTGAAAGCTAGATGTATACTAAACTGTGAGACATTAAAATCTCCAGTACCTTTAACGTTACTGAATTAACCAAACATATTTTGTTTAGGTACCAGTGAACAAGCCTTGGTTTATGGAGAGAGATATGTTGATCAATGGCTCATGGATGCTGATGAGATCATGGATGCTCAATCCAAAAGTCTAGATACTCCTGAGGTCGAAGATAATTCTGAGGTCAAAGATTCTCCAAAGGTCAAAGATACTTCTGAGGTCGAAGATACTCATAAGGTCAGAGATTCTCCTAAGGTCAAAGATACTCCTGAGGTCGAAAAAACTCTTGAGGTCAAAGATACTCCTGAGATCAAAGAAACTCCTAAGGTGGAAGATACTCCTGAGGTGGAAGATACTCCTGAGGTGGAAGATACTCCTGAGGTGGAAGATAGTCCTGAGGTGGAAGATAGTCCTGAGGTGGAAGATGTTCCTGAGGTGGAAGATGATCCTGAGGTGGAAGATGATCCTGAGGTGGAAGATATTCCTGAGGTGAAAGATACTCCTGAGGTGGAAGATATTCCTGAGGTTGAAGATACTCCTGAGGTCAAAGAAACTCCTGAGGTGGAAAATACTCCTGAGGCGGAAGATGCTCCTGAGGTGGAAGATGCTCCTGAGGTCAAAGATACTCCTGAGGTGGGAGATACTCCTGAGGTGTAATCAAATTTCATATTAAACTCTTATATCTTGAATATGGTGTTCAATTGGACTTTTTATAATTTCGCAAAGAACAAAAGAAGTTTATAGAAACATGGAATTCTGAATTTAATGAAACACTCTTTTTAAGTTGTTACTTAAGTCTCATCCTTATCGCTCTTTATCATAGTATTTATCCTTTTCTTGATGAATCTTGTTTAATAGACCATGTTTCATTGAATCATCTTATCTAATTCAGGAAGCCTTAAGTACAGTTGTAGTTGATATACCAGAAATGAATTGGCAGTGGATTCTTGCTGATATGGTAATGAATTTTTACCTTAATAATGCCTTTTTCTCATGTGTATCAATGCTTTGCCTTTTTTTATTATGTATGGTTGCTAATCTAATTGATTTACTTAAATTTTTAAGATTCTATTTTCTATTTATCTTTTTTAATATCTATTAACCAAAGAACAAGCTTTAATTAATTGGGAGTTGTAGTTTACTTTTGAACCTTGTTTCTTAAACTTGTATCTATATCCTGAAAAGGGTTGTTNCCTACTCCTCTACAAGAAATCCACCTTAAAGCTAAAGCTGGGCAAAGTTCTGTTAGTAAATGGAGGTTATGGAAATTAACGGAAGTGTCTGTTAACAATCGGCAAAAAGCGTTAATTTTTTAATTGTTAAGAAACGGATTAGCCATATTAAAAAAAATTAAGGGCTAAAAAGTGAGAGAACTGATTTGTCTTTTTTAAACCGTAAATACATAATTTTGTAGAATGATGATGGAAGTATGAAAGATACTTTTTCAAATTCTTCAACATGTGAAAACAAAAAAGAGGTAATTTTATGCTATTAATACATTTAAGATGCATGATGTGTTTGTTTCCTGTCACAAAATTATCTTTACTTTTGATTTCTATTTATTGAAGTTTGGAGGAGATGTATAATGTAAATATACACATTTCAAAATCTATTAATTATGAAGTTAAATTTTATGATGAGTCCAACATGTCCTCTCATTATTTATTTATTTTCAATTTTATTTAGAGATGTTCCCTGAGAAACAGAAATATTTTTATTTTTTTCATTCAATGCAAAGTTTTAGAGATAGGAACAGCGGTCGATATTGACCGCTTCGTCTTCACGGGATTTTAAAATGGCCAATATAGACTGCTTCAGGACATAGCAAAGTTTATAATTTTCTATTAAAAGTAAATATATCTGTAGTTAAACGTTGAAAACAGTTTGTTTGTAGTTCTTAGTTTAAATATCTTAACACATGGAGGCATAATCCTTCCCATACCACCCTACCCTTCCAATCTTATCCCATCACTCTTCTTCCAGTCTTATCCTTTCCATCCCTCCCTTCTCATCCCACCCCTGCCTTCCCATTCCTCCCTTCACATCCCTCCCTTACTCAAAAGATGCTGATTCATTAATTTATTTTGTTGCATTTATCCATTTATTGGCAACCGTGACTACATTACATTCTGTTCATATATTCGAACAAAATGTTCGTAAGATCGCAATAGTTGATAGATAGATAGATAGATAGATAGTTTGATAAAATGAACAAAATGTTTNAATTGATGACTATAGGTTGTAATATCTAAATGATTTGTTTGAAATTAAATTGATTTTTTACGGTCTAAGTAGTATGTTGCAATTTTCTCAATTTGTATGGCCGCTAAGTTATTCGGTATGAGACGTCTTTAACAATTTTCTCCTTATAGACGCAACAGATATAAGTAAGATTAGTAGCGATTTTATCGCACTAAGCCAATACCCCCTTTCATTTTTCGCGAACACTCCCTTTAATTTGTTAAAAATTGTTTGGGGGGTTGAGATTTTGTAATGTCATGTTTATTTGCTTTTATATTCTTAAAAAGTCTGTTACTGAAATTAAGCAACAAATCAATGATATGTAGGTGCTAATGACCTTGGAAGCCAGTCCATCGGGGATGTTAAGACCATTGCCTGTTATAGAACAGGTAAATTGACGGCCTGCGGACTTATCAGCTTAATTCAACTTGACCCCTACTCATCTGTAACCTGAACCCTACTCATCTCTACCCTGAACCCTGAGTAGGGTCTCAGGCTAGAGATGAGTAAAGTGTCAGGTTAGAGATAAGTAGGTTTCAAGTCAGATAGGAGTCTTAATTTCTTTAAAATCTTTTTATACAAATTTAAGATCAAATTTTACTCTCTTCAGATCAAATTTATCACTTTTCCAAAAAAGAGGAAATTTTATCCTAATATTTTTATATATACCCAAAGATTAAACTCTGGATCATATTTCTTTTAGATAAAAAGATATAGATCAAATTCCATTTCTTGTACATTTTTTTATGTTTACTAGGATGATCCTTTTTTTCAAAGTTTGCTGCACACTGGTACAAATGAAGAGTCCGATTTTGTGATTGGTAAGATATTTTAAGTTTCTGATTAGCAATCTTTGTAAATATTACTAATACTAATACTACTATTTCTAATTTTGTACCTTAAATTACATTTTCTTGTGAAAATTGGTACCTAATTAAAACATTTCAGGTGGGACAAATTAACCTAAAAATTATTATTTTGTTAGATTGGGGAGAAGAGGACAAATATGAATATTCTAAGCTTATACGTAGGGATCGACTGGATGGTCTTCTAACTTCAGCAAACAAAGAAACAGGTAATTTAAGGGCTTGTCTATGATTGGTTGGAAAATTCACAAAATTCATAAAAATGTGCACTAGGAGTATTAGTTACTGGGAAAACAATTATTGTAAAATGTATAGGGTGCCTCAAAAAAAAACTGTGCCGTAGGGGTATTAGTAACTGAGGAAACAATTTTCGTTCAACTTTTACAATCAAGGTGTCATTCGAAAGCTCTATATTTCAGTTATTTCATGATGTGAAATTTTTCTTTCTAGGCCTCATATTTTTATTGTTACAGCCAATTATTTAAGCGTAAGTCGAAAATCGATTTCCCGGATTTTTCGATTTTTCAATTTTTCACGTCTCATTTTCATTCGTTCATAAAGTATAAATAAATTTAAAGATTTTCAAAATTTTTTTTGAAAATTATAAGCTGTTATTTCATTTTTGGTTCAAATTTTCCAATTTTTTGGCTGCACGCCTTATTAGTGTCATTAGAAGGTCAAACACTGGATTTGTTGCTGCTACTGTATTCCCTGGGTTCCTAGCTTTCGTTTGATATGTATTAAGCCATAGTTTAAATATGTTCTATTTGTGGAGGTAATTAAAATTCAATTTCGAACACTAATTAGGCGGGCAGCCTAAATATTGGAAGATTTGAACCAAAAATGCCAACTCCATCATCCCCTTTAATTTTAATAGATTGTCAGCACATTTCAGGTGAAACCCTTCACTTAAAAATTAGTTTTTTCTAATTCACAGTTAGCCTTTACATCTTTGTCGGAAAAAGAATTTTTCACAACAGGCTCATTGGTTGGATTCACACCAGGCGTCTTGGTTGGATTCACAACATACTATATTAGTTGGATTCACAACATGCTCCTTAGTAGGATTCACCACAGGCTCCATCAGTGTATTCACATCAGACTCCTTGGTTGGATTCACAACAGACTCAATTGGTTGGATTCACATCATGCTCTGTGGTTGGATTCACAACAGGCTCCTTGGATGGATTCAAAACAGGCTCCTTGGATGGATTCACAATAGACTCCTTGGTTGGATTCACAACAGACTCAATTGATTGGATTCAAATCATGCTCTGAGGTTGGATTTACATCAGGCTTCAAGGTTGGATTCACAACAGACTCCTTGGTTAGATTCACATCAGGCTCCTTGGTTGGATTCACATCAGGCTCCTTGGTTGGATTCAAATCAGGCTCTTTGGTTGGATTCACAACAGACTTAAACGGTTGGATTCACATCAGGCCCCTTGGTTGGATTCACATCAGGCTCTGAGGTTGGATTCATAACAGGCTCCTTGGTTAGATTCACATCAGGCTCTGAGGTTGGATTCATAACAGGCTCCTTGGTTGGATTCACATCAGACTCCTTGGAGGATTCACAACAGACTCAAATGGTTGGATACACATCAGGTATAATTTATTTTGTCGAATAAGAAAAATAGGTTAAGATTTAACATTATTTGATGCTTTAATATATTCAAAAACTATGAGTTGCAAATAGACCCCAAATTGGAAGTTTTTGCAGGGGTTAGGGGGCACAGGGTGTAAAGGGGACAAAGATTTTGAACACAGTAGACAAATTATCCGTTCCCAGAGGGGGAAGTGGGCGTGGGTTGCAATTAATCAAATAATTTATTTGCGAAAATATCAAATTTTAATCTATTTATTGTTTTTATTTTCAAGAAATTTAATGCATGATATTTGTGAATTCAACATCACTGCTTGAATAATTTTTTTTAGTTCTGCATGTTACAAATTGTTAAAAATATATATATTTGCACGCTCTTATATATTTTTAACAATTTTTTATTTTGGAATTTTTTATCTTTTGGATACAGTTTATGTAATTTGGAAAGAAAATAAGAATTTGTCAACCAGTTGTATTGGAACACTCTTCTTCATTGTAGTTTAGTAAGTTTTATTGTCTAACTTTGACTTGACAAGCTTTAATCTGTTCTTTAATCTGGTTCAGGATTTTTCTTACCGGTAGGGGTCGGATAGTCCTGTAGGCGGTCTGGGTTGCCCAAGATGGGGATTCTTGCAGATCTCATCTCACATAATCACATAATCACATAATCACATAATATTTGAAATGATGTAGGTACAAAGGGAGGGAGTTCGAATGTCTCTCCTCCCTATCTTAAAGCTATTAAAGGAAGTGACCTTGTTTTTCCACGGATTTATTCTCATTCTGAGTTTTATGGCATTTTAATGTTACCTAATACCAATAGTTTAACAATAGTTCTTAGTGTTACCAATAGTCTGCCAATTATTGCCGCTGGTAGATTAAAAAACCGGCATTGTATTGCATGGTCACCAACCTGTAATGATTTTTCCTTTTTTCTATTTTTCTTGTTTCTGTTGAGCTGTACTAAATTTTCTTTGTTTGTTTTGCATGCGCTTATATCATCAGTTTTAGTTTAGCCCTCTATTAGTTTTTATCTAGTTCTCCACATTGTAATAACTGGGTAGTATTGTAACCAACTTTGTTGTGGATCTTGTTTTCATCTGAAGTTTGATGAAAGTGTTGATATTTATTTAAAAATATTATTTCTCTTGATCTTAACGGTGTTTTCAAATTAGGAAAGATAGTCGTGCAAGACGAGCTTTTGATGGAGCTGCTTGAGCGAGACTGTCTTGGAGTAAATGATGTGAATAATGGGCCGTTTCAAGTCAAAACCCGAGCTAAGCTTCGCAGGTACTACACAAATTTGGGCTAAATGACTTACTCACTAATTGGTGTGAAATATTTAAAAACATAAAAAAGTAAAAAATGTTAAAGAAAACTTCCCTCCACACCCCCCTACCCGTTATGGAGGAACTGTTAACTTTTTAGACCATATTTTTAAAGTTTCACAAATATTTTCTATCTATTATAAAATATTTTAGACTCGCAACACTTCTAGACGAGTACAGAAAGCTTACTAATACCAAAGCCAGCATGACTGATATGCTGTGCAATGTTCCTAAAGACCACAAGTTTGTTGATGCCAATTTTGACATCATTTGCAAGGTTAGATAAGGTTTATAGGTACTAGTCAGAACAATCCTGCCATACCCCAAAAATGATATACAGTAATCAGTTGTCATAGGTCTGAAAAAAAGGTCAAAAGTGCAGTATAAGGGTATGACATTACCTATAAGACTACAATTAAAATGGTTTTCTGAGGATTTAATTGCTTATAATTCTTCAAAGAAATTTTTATTCTGGTCGTATAGTAAATCTAACTGTCATTATTTATTATTGATTCACAACAGGGATGTAACCATAAGCTGTTCATGAATGTGGAAGATGTAGAAATCAGCAAGTAACTTATGTGAGAATTCTCCAAATTTTAGACATTTATATCCAATCCATCTAATACTTGGGGTGTGAAGAAGAAAGTCCATAATAAGATGTATAGTTTTACCAGTAGTTTCTGCCCAGAATTTGTTAACTGACTGAACTGTTTACTGAGATATTAGAATATTGGTTTGAATTATATTTGCAACTGGTTTACACACTTTTATTTATGAAATCTGTCATATTTCTTAATTTTTGTATAAAAGGCATGTAACGTTATTTCAGTGACTCTCCATTGATTCAGTGTTGTGTCAAAACCTTTGCTCGATATACATATATCTATGTTTCAAATTAAAATTTAAGTACGTTCTCAACAAAATTGACAAATGCATGCTTTGATTCTGAAGCAATAAAGAAATTATCTGAGTTAAATACTTTTCCAATCTAAAGAAATGACATTAAATTCCACATTATTGTTCAGATTAAGGTTTACAGATGTCAAACAGGAATGTTCAACTTTAAATGTAAGGTGCACTGGAAATTACGCTTACAGTCTCTTATTCTATTATTCAGGCTGCCAGAAACTGTGGGGGAAGGCAACAGGACAAGGTTGCAGTAACTCCAGCCATCAAGGTGGGCTATGATTGGCTTGATGCTGTGGAGCATAAAATTGGTCAATTAAAAAGAAAAGAGAAGACTCCTCAAGTAGTGCATGACCTTGCTGATGCTGAAGATTTAAAATCATTATACCACAGGTTTGTCATGTTAGTCTATAAAGTCTTGGAAAAATTTGTTTATTATTTTCCCAAATATGTTTGGAGTTTCAAATTTTCCTACTGAAGCTTTAAATAGACTAATCAAAAGAGGTATTTAACGTACTGTAACATGATTTTCAGGACTCTTTATGCAAAATTAGTATTCCCCGATTTTCAATCGTGCCCTTCAAACTTTTGACTGTTAATCAAGGACTGAGATCTCTTGTGTATCTCTCAAATTTTATTTTCTTGGAGCTTCTATATAGAATTCTTGGGGGCACAGGGGGGTTAACATTATTTGATGCTTTAATATATTCAAAAACATGGTTACAGGATATGAAATATCTCCAACTCCTTCTGATGGGATAACTTCATCAACTCATTCTACCTCAACTGCTTGTACTCCTTTGGTCAGTGATAATGAAGACCGTGAAGGTCTAACTGCGACTCCACCTACCTCAACTGCTTCATCTGACCTTCCTATCTCCGTCGATGATTGTGGATTTAAAACCAACAAGCCATTCCCTTGTATATTTTGTATAAACAATGATCCACCAGATTTTTCATTTCATTCTAAGCTAAAACGACACCTGATCAGAAAGCACAAAAACGAACCCAATATTGTTAAAATGATAGCGGACACTGAAAATGTTTTATTCAAGAAGATAAAGTGTGAGGGAGCTCATCTCTGGAATCTTAATGTTATCAAGAAGGGGTCTGGTAAAATTATTGTGTCCCGTGCTCCAGGTTGCAAGGAAGCGGACTATACGAATTATCTTCCATGTGGCTTATGCTCAGCCTGGATTACTTGTTCAGAGCATACAGCTCATGAAAACGGATGCAAAATTCCAGGAGTCAAGACTGATAAGAAAACCGTGAGAGATGCGCTAAGAGTAACAATGACAAAAGAGGCCAAAGACGTAATCTACGCTATAAGGAATGATGCAATTGGTACGGTAATTTTTATTCTAAATGGTTTAGGATTTTTTTTTTGGTGTTGGAACATTTCATAGCAAGACATTTCATAGATAGGATATTTCGAAGGGGGACATTTCATATACAAGACATTTTATAGACATGAAGATTCATATATAGGATGTTTTATAAGCAGAGAAAAAATTCATAGACAAGAAAATACAATTTTCAAAGTAATCTTCAAAATTGAATGATACTGTTATGTTATGTAACCTAATTTGTCTTAGACTAATTATTGACATATTTTTTGCTTTTATCTCATAATATCTACTTAATTAAGTATCTTACAAGTGGATTATATGATTTTCATATCTTTGAGGTACATATCCATCTATTAAATGTAATTTAATGAAATTTCCCAAAACCTTTATTTTTTTTTAAAGGGAGTGACCAGCTATGTAAGGTAGTTGAACTGAGGACGCAGTGTTGTGGAAAACTTCTTTAGGATTCATTTGAGACATATTTCACTTTTTAAAAGTCTGTAAATCCTGAGTTTGAGCGCAAATTAAATGTCCAAAAATCCTGATTTGGGGGTGGATACGCTTTCAGAATTAGTTTTTTTTTAATTATTAATTAACGACGACATAAAATGTAAAAATATTTACTCTACACTCTACACTCTACACTCTACATTCTACACTTAAACTCTGTACTCCATACTCTATGCTATATGCTATACACTCTTCACTTTACACTCTCCAATACATACCGTAAATATGGAAAATTATGAATTAACTAATAAGCGATTAGCTTTTCCCTGATGTCGCATGTTTTAAGGAATTGTCAACGTAACTTAATGTAATCTTCAATTAAAGAATTTGCATACTGGATTCACTACAGTACCCTCCAAACCATTGTTTATTAAAAGATGACGGAAAAAACTAACTTTCCTTTTGCAATTATTTTGGAACTAGGTCAGATATTTTATTTCTCTCACGCCCCCTTCTTATTTTCTCCTCAATATGTGTACATTATTCCCTGGATAGTGAATATCGACCAAAATGGCTGAGATGCTAATTCTTAGCTTTTTTCTTCGGAATTTTTAAATAATAAATTTGGGTTTCTCTTTCATTTTGATTCTTTAAACAGTTCTTAACCTTAAATTACCATAGTGTCAAGTAAGTTGTTTTCTATCACAATTTAGATTTGATTTAAGGAAAATGCTCCCTGACTAATGTTCTCATCCTGAACCCAACAATGGTCAGATGTACGAAGGCACTCATAAAATCTCGTAGTTCATATCTTCCTGATGGTAATCCGTACCTGTTTGGAATCGGGGGTACAGGCAGGAACAACAGCAGACTATCCAACTCATTGGTTGTAAAAAACTCTCATGAGGTAAGGAAACATTATTAGTCTTAAAACGTTTTTCTTTAAGAGTCTTTAAAACAATCCTTATTTATAACCAGTGATTGCCTTATTTAATATCTCAAGTCGAAACTGATAACAAACCTTCAATAATCCTTCACTGAAATTTTAAAAATTTTATTTTTATTAAGACTGTAGAGTGTAGAATCTATTTTAAAAGATCCTGAATTTGTAGTTATGCAATTTTTGTATCGGCCCAAGTAAAAAAGCAATTTATTTCATTTTGATATGAATTAATTCTTGTTTTCAGCAAACTCTAGCCACTCTATTTAAACTTCTTTGACATGACTGCAACAATTTTCTTTTTAGTTTCTACATTTTTCTAGTGATATTTATATGCCATAAGATTATATATAACGTAATCCCTATTATTAATAATTTGTAAACAATCTTTTAATTAATTTTGTTCACATTTCTGAGCATGTGCAAATGGCTATAAAATTCTAAGCTAATTGAATATGGATATATATCGTTGATACCTGATGGTGTAAACCTTTGATATTAAAAAAAAGATTACTATTAATAACACAGATTTTATTGTTTGGATTATGAAATGTCTACAATATGTAAAAATTTGAAAACTTAAGTTTTTGACTTAAACTCCTTCCTTTTTAAATGCCATTATATCTACGAATAGGCAGTATAAAAGTTATAATTACGTCTACAGTCACTGAAAATTGGAATTCATAAAATTTTTAGAAATATATACATATTAGATATTATTATATTGTTTTAGAAAGCTGGTGTACCGCCAACTACGGCTGCCACGCGTAGAAAATTGTTAGCTACTGTTTATCAGGAATCATGATTTATATCAAATAATATAATAATTCTCAGGCTATGAATTTTTTATTTGGGGAAATTAGCATGAAGACTTGGCTGTATTTGAGCTTAATAAAGCTTCAGACGGCATTAACTTTGTCTAAACGGGTTAAAGCTAGATATTGTTATGATAATAAAATGATAGATGAGAAAACCGTCAGATGCCCAAATGGACACCATGTCTAATCATTTAGGGCATTCACTGACCACTCATAAAGAATATTACAAGTAAGTTGATTGCACTGACATTTGTGTACATTAAAAATACATAAACCTTTAACTTGCAAATTCTGCTATTTTGAATGTTCTATGAATTTACATGAATGTATTAATATTTATGAAGTTTAAATTTTATGATTTAATATTTTATAACAATCTAACAACTAAAAAGAATAACAGTAATGCTAATTTAGGATGCAGACTAGCCTGGTTGAAATGCAGATGGTGGCACCCGTCTTGTACGATTTAGATAGGGGTGAAATAGGTAAAATTTTATTTGTTTCATTACCAACCCCTTATTTCATTAATTCTGCCCCTTAACACTAAACAGGCAAAAAACGCCCCCCCCCCCTCACCCACATTATTTTTGCCCTAGCACTCATTTTTTACAGTCATCGTAATCATTAAAAAAAATTGAAAAATTTTTAAATTTTTTTTGTTATGCTAAGGGTACGGTATACAGCGCGTTTAAAAGTCCGGTCTGTTTAAAAATCTAAAACCACCCACAACTATTATGACTAAAGCACATATCTAAAAACTCAATTTTTAAAAACCCCCTTGAAAAATGGATGTAGAAACATGCGTCAAACTTGTTTTAAATAAGAAACATGTTTACATTTTTAGACTTTTTTGGGCATTTTTTCCAACCCTCCCTAACACCAAAACTATAAAAGTTAACAATCTAATTTTTTTTCATTGCATAGGCCTTTAAGAATTGGGCTTTGAACATGCATTTCAACCCCACACCTGTTCTCTAAGGTATTTTTCGTCTCCTGTAGAAGATGATGAAGTAGTTACCCCAAGAAATAAAACAATCAGAAGATTGCCAGGTACATAATTATTCGATACTTTCTGCAAGTCATACTAATATCTTAAAAGAGAATGTGCCCATAATTTCAAGCGCCCTTAAAACCTATATCTGATCAGTCTTGTCATACCTAATCTAAAACACTCATAATGTTTCTGCGGAATGATGGTTTATTGCTGTTATTTTGTTGTATGTTTGCAAACTTTATTTTTTTATTTTAAAAAACTTTTTCTTAGTGTTAATTATTGCACTATGCCAAAAGTAGCGCACTACCTGTGCTGAGGCCAAACTGCGCACAACATACACCTCAGTTTAGAGGGATTCAAGTGGATTTTCTGCATTTACAAATAAGTATTGAATGTTCTTAAAGGTACTGTAGCGCAATTTCAAGTAACAGTACCTTTAAGAACATTCAATACTTATTTGTAAATGCAGAAAATCTTATTTACTGAATTAGTAGTACACTGACTTTTTCTATCCCATTGCTGAAGATGACAAAAAACATCATTTACTTTCCCGAGAAATAATTAATTTTCTTCGATTCAGCTCATTAACCCTAAAACATGTTCCACAAAATATGCATCCTTGGTCAAGGATTGGAACCCGTAAATAAATTCCAAGAAGAAATTTTGTGCCATTACATTTACAAAATGTATTATCTAGTTTGTAATTTAATTAAAATCTGCAAATTACAGGTTCACAAGCTCGGGGTGGAAGGGGAGGATCAGGATCCACTGAAGAAGTCAGAGGAAAACAATCTGGTAAATCTTCAATCCTATTAATTTGGTCGGTAGTCAAACGTTTGCTGTGTCACGTGAGACTGACAAATGTTAGCATGATTGTCAGAAAATGATAAAGTTTGTTTCAGTGCTTAGGATCCGAATCTGAATCCAGATTCGTTGGATCCGCCAGATTTTGGCTTCCTGGATCCGGATCCGCAGAAATATGCGGATCTACGGATCCTGATCTAAGGGGCAAAATATCAACCAAAAACTGCACAAAAAAATTACTCCCAAACCCAAAATCTGAACTATGAACTATGAACTATGAACTATTAATAAAAGAGATTATAAAAATTTCCTGATTTCTAAATGGGTCATTAAGTTTAACATAAAAATAAACAAAAAATTTAAATTTAATTGCTTTGTTAAAAATGTCAGTACAGTTTGAAGAAATAACCAGGATCTGGAGCCGGATCCATTTTTTTAAGTGCGGATCCAAGATCCTGATCCGATGACAATTTAAATCTGCAAATTACAGGTTTACGTCCTCCGGGTGGAAGATCCAGTGTAGAAGGAAGAGGAGAACAGTCTACTTCATTTGGTAAACATTTAATCCTGTTTATTGGGACGGGCGTCAAAGGTTAGCCTGTAATACGTCAAACTGAGAATTATTACTATGTGCTGTCTTGTTTTAAATATTCGAAGGGGTTTAAATTGTAGTTGTGCGAATATGTAGATGTTAGGCTAGTAAATCAATTTATTAAAAGGAGTAACCGGCTTTGTATAGCGGTTGAACTGAATATGCATGCAGTATTGTGGAACATATATAGAAACATTTTTTTTTCAAAATAAATTTGTTAATAATTCAATCTTTGAATAAATAATTTCCTTTTACTCATAAAATTGAATTTTTTATTTTTTATGAATTTTTTTACCGATTTCTACAAATTCTTCAAATGCGTCTTTTCAATAAAAAAGAAGATCACACAACCTGAAATGTTGAAGAAATTTGTGTTTTTCTATCTAGTTAAAAATTATTTTCAATTGTGACCTCTCAAAATGTTATGCCTATTTTTGCAGTGATAAAAGTAAATTGTCAGAAAATGAAAAAGTTTGTTTTGAAGAAAAGCAACGATATTTTAATAATTGTGTTTCTTCAAAAGTGTTAAAATTAAGATTCAGTCATGCTCAATTCCTTTCATTTAACATTATTTTACATTCAGGATGTAAGAAAGGGAAGCCGACACCTGGGAAAGGGAAACGCACCAAAGTTTTTAGACTTAATGGTATATTTTTTATACATTTAGAAAATATTTTGCATCACGCTTATGGTGGCTTGAGGGGTGGGTGCAACAAATTTTATTTTTTACTGTAAGCTAACTTTTCTTTTTTTTTCAAATATACCAGCCCCTGCTAAAATCTTGTGTACGCGCATGATTTAATTATGCATGTAATAATTTGACGAAACAATTACTATTACTTTAGAAAGCAAAGGGGGCATTAAATTGAAACATACTTTAAAGATTTCTTTAATGCATGGATAATGAGTTTTATAAAACAAATATATTACAAGCATTGCATAGTAGTTAACACACTCCCTTTTATAGACGATGAAAAAGCAGATATTGCTCGATATTTTTCGCGCAATATTCAGATGGGAGAAACGATCAACAAACAACAGGAACATGAAAACATCTTAAGTTTATAATGTTATTAACCCTATCATGATGGGGGGAGGGGGAGTGTTTTACAACTTTGTGGGAAACATCTCAGTTCTGTGTGTTTTTCTCACTAACTTAATAACACTACAGTTCAAAATGTCTCACTTTCTCAATTTCCAAATAAAAAACAATTTTTTTAATTAGCTTGCTTTAGTTAGATTATGAACATGATCACACATCCCTATCTCAACTCCAAGGGTTAATTAATAGACGAGTGAGGATTCTTAATCTTTATTAGTCAATAATAGCCCAGAAAAATATGTATAGAATGTCGTTGTCTTAACCTAATGATATTGGAATGCGGCAAATTGTAGTTTTTGAATTAAATAATTATAGGAAGCCGGCATATTTCAAAGATATCTCTTTATTTTTACAATTTCTAAGATATAGGAATATCAGTATAAGAACCCATCTAAAAATTGTAAAGACGACATTTCAGAAAATTCTGCCTATGTCTTGTGACATACGTTAACCATTTATACTTCTAATTAACTTTTAACCATTAGTGATGTTTTGTTTAGGCCGTGGAGTTCAATAGAACTACTGGGCGTGATATACCTTACAACTATGTGACAAATCAGGGAATTAGGATTATCAATATTGTTTCAAGTTTAAATTTGAATTTTTCTAATTTACGAGTACTGTCAATTGTTATTTTTGGTAATTCTTTTGACCATGAAAAACTCCTAATTTATACAGGTCCGGAGTTTAGTCGTACAGAAAAGAAGATTAATTTTTTAACACGTTTCGCTCCGCATTTATAAAAAATTGAATAAATATTTTTTACCTAATGAATTTTATTTCTAAAATTAATGTTGTGTTCTTATTATGTACATAATAAAATCCTGGTATAGTTCACTTTTAGACATTAAATAACTAAAGGAATTGAGTCTTTGCCACGAAGTCAAATTTTCAAATCCTAATATCTTTGCAACTAGATGGTTAAGCCTTAAATATTTTAAAATTAGATTATTTGATCTACCAGAATTCATAGTTTGAAATATAAAAGGTCTACGACATTAGGTTGGAAAGATACAGGGATTAGAAAATCGGAGTTTGTGGCAATGACTCAACTCCTTTAGGATATTTAATGCATTGTAAAACCTAAGAAACATTGTGCTGTATATTCTGTGAATGTTTAATGGTTCAAAGGTGAGAAGGAAGGAAAAGAGCTTGTATTAAAACTACTTTAATAGTACTTTTACTTAAGTAGTTGTAAATCAATCCGCACCTAGTTCAAACTTTGCTAACTACTGTGGATACAAAGAGCACTAGCAATAACTACAGGGTTTCCAATAAAGACTTAACTAATCTATGCTACCTGACAAAAGACCATTTTTACAATTAAAGATTTTGCATTGTTTTATCAGTCAAACCTTTACAGTTTCCATGTTTCAAGGCCGACTGTATAGGAAGTTCCTGCCACAAGAAATTAATATCAAACGGTGGCAAAATTATACCAAACATTCATTTAAAAAAAATATATTTAGCATAAGAGTTGTAGTATTTATTTATAACAAATGGACTCATTTGTCCTCTAAGTGACCTTAGAAAAAAACGAGTAATCCGACCCATCAGCAACCCCATGCATTAGATAATGAGATGTGAGCCTCAGGGTAGGGGGCCTGTTAGGATTGTACAATACCAAGGATTGGCTCCCAATCGTTTAATACCCAGGGTTGGTTCATCTAGGTTAGGGAGGGAACCCCCGGACGCCATGAGCCTCTGCTATGCAGACATCGAGCCTCCCAGATTCGCTAGGCAGATTGAGCCTCCACTGTGCAGACAAAGCCTACGCTATGCAGACCGTGCCTTCGCTATGCTGTAAACGAGCCTCCACCATACAGCACAGCTTTTTTTAAATATTGGTTTTTATGAGTGATAAACTTTTAACAATTTTTTCTACGTAGTGGCAAAGAATTTTACTTAGAGTTTCATGATTTTCATGATTAGACACATATATAGACTCATAAAGTTGTTTATAAAATTTATATTAAAACTTTAAACATTTCTTTCGCAGAAAGGAAGATATTTGGATAAATTGAAGATATTGGAGTAAACATGGTTTGTTTTGTTGTAATCTTTGATTTAAACAACACCTTTTTTTGAAAAATGTTAAGATTTAAATAATAATACAAATTTTTTAGATTTAATTTGAACTTCAAAGAAAGGTATCTCTAGAATCAAAGATTATAAAAGATAAAATAAAATGAAATTCAAATTTTTTTTCTAAATATTTTCCTTTTTGTGTAAAAAATGTTTAAAGTTTTAGATACCACTTTATTAGTCATAATTAGGCACTATTTATGATAATTCATAAATACTTCTCATCTTTGATAAGCCTCTCATGCCACTATGTCTAACAATTTCAAAAAAATCTTTATTTAAACTTTAAACACAAGATTAAAAAACCTCCTGTATTTCACAGACACATTTTGATGTGTTGCACATGCTCCATTTCTGCAAAGCGGAGACTTGGTCTGCCTAGGAACTCTGGGAGGCTTGTGTCTGCATAGCGGAGGCTCATGGCGTCCGGGGGTTCCCTCCCTCTCCAGGTTAATTCATCGAGGTGAAACACTCAGGGTTGGTTCATCCATGTTTAATACCCAGGGTTGGTTCATCCAGGTTTAATAAGCAGGTTGATTCATCGAGGTAAAAAACTCACGGTTGGTTCATCCAGGTTTAATAACCAGGGTTGGTTCATCGCAGGTTTAATACCCAAATAGATTCCTCCAGGTTTAATACCAAGGGTTTCCTCAAGGAAGGATCAGGGTTGGGTAGAATATAAAACAAATTAAAAAAGGATAGGATAGGAAGGGTTTAGAGTCAGGGAGAAAAGAAGAATGAATATGACGGGTTCAGATTAAAGAGTGCACTCAATAATCCTAGCAGGGTTCAAGTTCAAGCTTACTCCATAATAGTATCAAAGTTCATGTTCAAGTTTACTCCATAATGATATCAGGGTTCAGGTTTTAAGTTTACTCCATAATAATATCAGGGTGCAGGTCCCAGTTTACTCCATAATAATATCAGGGTTTAGGTTCAAGCTTACGTCATAATAATAATAAGGTTCTCAGCTTTCTATCTGTAGACTCCAGATCTCCTACTTTCTATCTGTTAACTCCAATTTTCAAACTCTAAAGCTGTAAAACCAAGTTCTTCTACTTTCTATGTGTAGACTCTAGTTCTTCTACTTTCTATCTGTAAACTACAGTTCTCTTACTTTCAATATGTAAACTCCAGTTCTCCTACTTTCAATCTGTAAACGACAGTTCTTCTACTTTCTATCTGTAAACTCCAGTTCTCCTACTTTCTATGTGTAAACTCCAGTTCTCACACTTTCTATCTGTAAACT